TTTCCTAGTAGGTGGGCTTTGCAAAACAACAACGACAACAACAGTAACAACAACAACAACAACAACAACAACAACATTTAGAGAGTATTTAGAGAAAACATAAAATTTAGTTCAGCACATCTAGTGGACAGGCCAAATGTAAATGCAGAATGAAACACAGATTCAATTATTGTAGGATTGTAGGAGTTTATGATTATTTTTGTATTTTAGGGAAAATTACATTATGAAAAATAGTAAAGTTTCTTGGCTGGATTCAGGGTAAATAGCAATGTGGATAAATTTAAGAGATGGGGCGAGGGATGAATAATTGACTCTTTCAATAAACAGGTCAGTGGTGTGTATTTTTAAATAGAATTTTATAGTGCTTTGGGACTTCTGTTTACTTTTATGATTATAGTAGGAAGGAGAAAAGACCTGTTTGGTTATTTTATTTGATTTTTTGTTTTGTTTTGTTTTTTCAAAATATTTCATTTGTTATTTTTATTTTATATGTATGAGTGTATTGTCTGCATGTAGGTAAGGGCACCCGTGTTGTGCAATGCCTGTGTAGGACAGAAGAGGCCATTGGATCCCCTGGAACTGGAGTTATGGACAGTTGTTAGCTGCCTTGTGGGTGCTGGGATTCAAACTCAGGTCTTCTGTAAGAACAACCAGTGTTCTTAACCACTGAGCCATCTCTCCAGCCCCTTGATTCTTGTTCTATATATACAAAACTTAATTCAGAATCTTCCAGATGACTGCTTAGCTGTCCAAAACTATTATTATGGAATATAAATACAGGTTTCTCTTCAAAGAAATTAGCAGTTGACTTACACAGGAAATGAGTTTTTGTTTTTCATGACTGTTAAATTTCCTTCTATTTATAGTGGGGAAACTTTAGAATGTGATTTCTAAGTGCAGCACAGCCCATCTTGCAGTGAAGTTCTTGATGGATGTTAACTTGAATAAGTATGTTGGAAGAATCATCAGGAAATTGAAAAGATTTTGGCAACAAAGTCACTTGAGGTTCATCTGCAAGGGGGGATGATGGGTACAATGCTAGATTAACATAGTTCAGCTTCAACTATGTTGTCATAAGAGGAGTTAATCACCCTGAGGAAACTGGCCTCTGGGGGAACCTGGAAGGATCTGCAAGTAGAATCTGGAGCCATTGCATTCAGTCTGGATCGCAGTGATGGTAGAGATTTTCTCCATGTGATCATAGCTTGGGGTTGTGAGTTACTTTGTAGAAAGAAGCAGTTACATGCTTCATCTCTCAAGGACAACAGTTGCTCCATCCTTAAGAATATGTAAGATTTGCTGGGTGTGGTGGCACATGCCTTTAAACCCAGCACTGAGGAGGCAAGGCAGGCAGATCTCTGAGTTCAAGGCCAGCCTGGTCTCTCATATATATATATATATATATATGAAAGACCTATGATATATTTTCTTCCTTTCTTTCCTTACTTATTTTTTTTTCTTTTACTCATTTACCAAGCCCTTACTATCTTTAAAGCATTGTTTTAGGGTTGGAAGTTAGGAGGCAACTGCACAGCTTAAGGAAATCTCTCTTCTAATGGGACTTAACATAATGATGATTGAAAGTTTGGTATCTGATATTTCATGGAATTTTACTAAGCATTATGAGGATTTAGAGGAAGGTAATTTTAATCATTCATTGCATGAAATAAAATGAATCTTACATCAAAATTAGTGTGAAATGCTAATATGAATAGAATGTTAATTAACATAAAGATAGAATAGTTTTGGATATAGGAAGTAAAAAAAAAAACCCTCTTTTTTGGTAGGATTTGGACTGGTCTGACAATTGGAAGAGATATAGTTAGAATCAAATCACACAGGACTCTGTGTAACTATGACATTTGAAATACACCCTGTAATGTAATTCCTCTGACTTTTAATATTTTCACCAGTCAAGTGGGAGTGATGAGTTCTATTTCGTTAGATGATTAACAATGTTCTAGGGCAGATAGGCTGGATTTGAAAACACTCTGTGGAGTGCAGGGAGCTATTGATCCTTCTGTGGGGCAGTTCATGGGGAGAGATGTCCAGCAATCTGTATGTCAAGGTCTTAGATATAAAAGGATAGGACACAGCTTTTTGAGGATTGAATTTGGAAAGTGGGTCATAATAGGATTTCTAGATGGTGTGATACCGAGTGTCAAGTATTTGGCCAGATGATAGTTCCAAATCTTCATGTCATGGAAGCAGGACCGAACACTGGGCAATGAGATCTAGTATTGCTGTGTTAAAAATCACGTATAATTTCAAGATCTCCCAGTCACGGAAGAGTCACAGTTGCTCCCTGAGGGACTTCTGTTGCTAATTAGAGCCCTGGCATTAAAAGAAAAAAATACATATTCAGTGAATTACATAGTTTCTTAAGACAGGGAGATATTTCGGTCTTTCTAATTAGAGCCACATCAAGGACCTAATTCAGGAAGCACCTAAGAAATTCTTTAACCTGGTCAGAATGAAGGCAAGACTAGGTTTGTCTTGAACCTCCAAGTATATACTCCTTGATTCTTGTTGAGTGGACTCCTGGGGATATGACAGATGCTAGTACTGTCATGATTACTGTAATGGCAGTGAGGATGGTAAAAAAATGGCAAGATTGGGATGCACTAGACATTAGCATCCTGAGAGATCACAGGATGACAGGAGTAAAGGGACAGGAAAGGGAGTAAAATGTAATATTGGCATTTTGTTCCTAAAGCAAATAACTAGCAGCAGGTGGAGGGAAAATCCTTTGTACAGAGGGGGCAAGGGTGTCACTGGGCAAAGTGGAAGAGATCAACAGAGAGAAAAGCCAAATTGACCTTCAGAAAAAAAAAAATCCCGGCGGAGATGACTCTTAGAGAACTGGAGGCCATGTGAAATGTTGGAAAATTTTAGAAGTAAGTCATTATATCTCCTTTTGTTTCTTCTCCCATTGACGACAACTGCGAGCATGGGATTCTTCTATTTTCTTTTTTACTTTAGATTATGTAAAATTCGTAGTCATTAAAAATTATTTTGAGTTCCTTGAGAAAATGACTACAGGATCTTTATTTGAAAACGAAATTTTATTTGAACTACTAAAAGTCAGACTGACTCGTGAGTACCCTGTGGTTCAGTTTCAGTGTTTCATAATACAATGCTATGGAAGAAAAGATAAAAATAAAACAAAGCCACAAATTGGTGAATAGTCCAGAAAGAGCACGAATAAAAATGCTCTGTGGAAACTCCCGGTTATTTCTCAAAACAGGATCACGGGTGTTTCATTATTTAGAATTATTTGTACACTTTTTGTTTTTAATACAACTACCTCAGAAAAGACTAAGCAGAAAAAGATGAATCCATTGTGAAGCTGGCTTTATATAATGATCCTGATCCCAAACCTTAAGAACAGTACACCCTGGGCGAGGGTAGTTAATTAGAGTTTATTAGGGAAAAGACAACAGGAAAGGTACAGGCCCATAAACTGGAAGGACCTGGTCCAAGATGGACATTTAAATAACACAGTGTGAGATGGTTTTTAAAAGGATCCGTGTAGGCTAGGTTCCAAAAAGCCAGTTCATATATAGTGTTGAAAATATAAACACCATTTGACATTTGGAGCTAAATTGTTCTTATTAATGTCTGCTGTTGTTGTGCTTGAAAAGATCAGAGAGAGGGGTCTAAAAGTATGTTATGCTGAGCTCATTTTCTCTACTGTCAAATGGAGAGAGAGCCTAATAAACATCCCAACAAGACCTACCCTGAAGTGGCTGTAGCAGGCTGGACTGGGAATGTCTTAGCTGTGGAAACCTTTGTTTGTGAAATGATGGTTTGATAAAAAATGTAAAGCTTGAGCAACTATAAAGACATAGTCATGAGGAGAAAAGAAATCAGGACTGATAAGATTTATTTAGTTGAAAATCAGTTTCCAGGATGCTAGGTAGGAGGTGTATAGA